GTTTAACATGTCATCAAATTTTAAATTATATTTTCTCTATAAATAGCGTCACGACTCGGGAACAAACAGAAGACGATTCGCGTTATAAGGCATAGCTATAGTCTATTTTCATATACTATTTCTCATATATTATTAAATTAATAAACTTTTTATTTCGTGCGAAACCATACCATTAAAATATATAAGAATATATAAATTATAATTAATAGCAGTAATAGTATACTATAATAATAATGATAAAGTGATAATTCATTTGTCATAATTCTGTACAAAAATGTCGGCACTGTTTTGGTCATCGGGTTTGGGAGTGATTGGCCTTCTCTTAACGGGTGAGCCCTTCCTCTTACAGCTCTTCCAATTGATGGCTTCGAGAGAGTCATCACTCGTCAAACCGTTAGGCATAAGGTTTTCGCTATTTTTGGTAAACCATTTGATTCCACTTCTGGGAAGCGATTCGTAATAAACAGAATCCGTCCGATAATAGGCGTCGAAAATGTCTTCGTTTCGACACATTTGTAGCGCAATGTATGAGTGGATCAAAAGGCGGGGATATCTTGAGTCCCAATACTCGACGAACTGTTTGGGAATCGCGCCGAGAGATTGCTGTACTTCGGGCGTCAGTTCCCTATAATGGTGTCGTTTGTTACGCATCGCACGCAATAAGTCGCGAACGGATGAACCCCTATAGGAGCGGAACTTTTTGAGGTCGGCCTGCAGTTCAATGGATATGTGTCGCCTCCAATCGCCTTTGCATACGTCGATCCCTCCGCGCTCCAGATTGAGCACCACATCCGAGTCGACCGCTTCCTTCTCAATGCGATCGGACACGTCCTGCAGGAACTGTAACGACTTGTTTGGGTCCCAAAACAGCGGATGTTTGGCCACCGCCTCGATGTTCGGTCGAGCGCTCGGATCCGAGTTAATCATTGTGTATATTAGACTGTATTCGGCGAACGTCTCTTCGGTCTTGAGTTTATCGATATCGAACCGACCCATCAGTATATTGGACTGTCTCTGCAATAGGTCTCCGAACGGGTGCTCGCCTTTGGTTAACGTGTAATAGAATAGACATCCCATTGAAAAGATGTCGATAGGCTTTGAGGGCTTGAATGTCGCTCTTTCCACTTTGGACTTTAATACTTCGGCTGCGATCCAACCCTCTGTGCCCTTCAGTGCGGCCGACACTTCGGTCGACATGTGTTCAGAAGTTAATACTTTGGAGACACCGAAGTCAGAAATCATCACTTTTCTGGTATTATTCGGCGGTAATGGCAATGATATTAAGATATTTTGCGGTTTAATATCACGATGAATGACATTCAATGAGTGCAGATGTGCTAAACCGAGAGCCGACTGATGGAGCACTTGTATGGGATCGACGAGTGCTTCGCCGCCTTCCCTCTCAAGATAGTCGGCGAGCGTAAAGTCGGCCAATTCTATGGCTATATAGCGAAACATATCGTCCGATTCGGTGGCAAAATAGCGGATCAGATTCGGGTGTTGTAGCGAACGAAGCAATTCGATCTCACGATCGGCCAAAACGAAATGGTCGGCCACTACTCGCTTCACAGCGATCTTCTGTTTGCCTTCGAACAAACCCTTGTAAACACAGGTTCCCGAACAGCCCCGACCTATGATCGACTTCGGCTCAAACCTGATCTTTCCGACCGAAACCCAATTCGGGTCAGAGTTTTGGTTCTGTTTTTGGTTTTTATCTGTCTTTGAATTTCTGGAGACGATGTAAACGCTGAGCGCAATTGTCGTGACGCCCAATAGGAATGTAATGGCTGTGCGCAACAGTTCCTCGTAATTGTAGATCACGTCGACGTCACGGGTGTTGAACGACGTGTTGCCTATGATTAACGGTTCCGTCACGTGTTTAGCTTTGTGTGCAGTCAACAGGTTATGAGGCGATTGACTGATTTGAAACTGGGGGTAGATTTGGCTTTTGGTCACTTCGGGGTATTCGTAGTAACCGAACACTAAAATATTGAAATAGTCTTTAATCGAGTTAATGGACTTGTGTTTGTCCGGGCCTTCGATCAACAGCTTTCGGTTCCGTTTGGTCGGAATGAGTGTTGTCTGCGATAAGTCGACTAAAGTGCTCAACGCGTACATCGACTTGGAGTCCGGCATTTCGCCGATATATAGCGACGGATACAATGGATTGCTTTGACGCAGATTTCTGGGTATAACAGTGCCGCCGATCGTGGAGAAGGGCACCCGACGGAGCACTGGTGTTATGCCGTCATTGAACTGAAATATGGATACGATTGGCGACGAGAACTGATGCGTCCATAAGAAGCGGTTCGCGTCGTTCGACAAATCGATTGTCGCTATTCTTCCGGTAGTACTCGATGTCAAGTGAAGAAATTCGTACGCGTTTTGCGGTATCGACGACACGGCCGACGAGGAGTAGTCGACAAACGTTAGATTCCATGTCTTTTGTTTGCTTTTTAAGTCAAAAATGGATAATTGATATTCACTTTTGCCAATGAATAGCAGATTCGATGTCTGCGTGCCGTACGCTGTGGTCGTCATCGGCGGTGACGGACACATCGGTGTGTCTGCGTTCAGGACATCCACTCTCTCGCCGGTGACGGCGTTGATTGTTATCCATTCGTCAATCTTTTTGCCCGTATAGAGTAAGCCATCGGAACTACGACAAGGACTCGACGACACCAATTCGCTGATTGTGAACGGAAGCTTCTCTAACGACTCCCTCTCCGACTCGCTGTCAGTATCGGCCGCACTGTCCACACAATTACACACATCAGTCATACATTAGTTTCAATTATAACTTATATATCATTTATATCTTAAATATAATTAATTGTTGTCTAATTGTTTGAGTAATTGTCTTAAAAATATAATGAAAGACATGTTATAATTGTCGGAAGAAGTGAATGTCTTTTGGCAGACCTGAAGCCATTGTAGAGATAGAGTGAGCCGTCTTTAGGGTCGGGAAGGAATAGGCTTTTCTTCCTCTGGTGTTGAGTAATGTTCTCAATGTTCGGTAACTTAAGAATCGGCGACTCATTCAGCGACCACTTTATAAGACCCGATCGCTGGCCAATCGCGTGAAGAGTGCCCTCAAGTGTTGATATCAATAGTGACGGCTCTCTGATGGCCACCGGCTGTCGAGGAAAGGCAAACCATTGGATCAATTCATTTAGCGATGAGTTGTTAAGACAATGGATGACACAAAACATCAAAACAAAGACCAATACCTCATTAGTGGTGATAAATGGGAGCCAATGAACGCATAACCAGAATATCAACAATATATGCATTGTATGTATGATTTGATGTCCAGTAAAGTCATGTGATTATCGGCTGAAGACATTGTTTTGTAAGCGATTTAATGGTAAAGAGATTGTTATGAAATGTAAGCCAAGACTTGGTTTGTATTCATTGCGTAATTGTATTGTTTGTCCAAAAAGTGCGTCCAATTGATGGCAAAGTGTTGTTCATTGGCTTCAATGCCATTGCAATGTATTTGTATAGCAATTCGTCCACAAAGTTCTCAGCGCTTGTCTTATAACTCGTGTACTTTTGGCCCAATTTCTTATGCAATACAAGTGAATGCCATAGAAATTGATTACTTTATGAATATTATATATCACACAATGAATGTAATACTTGTAATCATTTATATCTCTTATATAATGTATCAATAGATTGAGCGCTCAATGTTTTTGCACATAACAGGGTATCAGTAATAATATTGGCAAAATGTATCATTTTAAATTAATTGTTCATTTACCCGGTAAATTTTAAAACCGATAAATTTTACCTTAACATGTAATTTACGATGATGGTAAATGTTGACAACTTTTGTCGAGTACGTTCACCTGAGGCATGCATATTGAGACGTCTGTAAATTCTGGGATTTCCATAAAGAATATTCTTTGGACACAACAATATATTTCTTAGCATTTAGTCATTATCTTATGTATATTTCATAACAATTAGTAAATCTTATTCACAATTCAATATTAAAATGCTTGTAAGTAAAGGCAAATTCATAATGAGTAAAACAATTTGGTTATTCATAATTATAAAAACAATGTTTGAGTTTAAGTGTCTGATTACTATTTGAATAATACATTACCGGTATTACAATTCTTGTGCAATGATGTGATTTCTATTTCACTTTAATATAATACACAGTAAAAGTATGAGTAACTAACGATATGAACTAGTTTGATCTAGGTTCTTCCATATAATGCTAACCAGAATATTGTGATTTTGATAATTATTTTGCGATTAGTCTAATCATTGAACTTATGTTTTAAATATTTGTGATGAATATTATAGGAATTTATTAGTGTATGAGTAGTACTAATAAATTAAATAAATGTTTAACATTTGATTTATTGAATAAATCACACGTTATTATATTTATTCATAATATTGTTTGTCCTTGGTTATTCTAACAACTTTGCACCCTATAACACGATTCTTGTGGAAATGTTTAAGTTTAAAACAGATAAATTAATGTTATTCTTATCAAATAAATTAAATGAAGCTAATTATTCAAATCAATTTATTTCAAATAACATGCATTCAATTGATTTACATTTCAATTGCTATCAAAGATTAGAAAAGAGACACACTTTTCTATAACTCAATATAACATTATTGTAACGTAAAGTCATTAAAATGATGGGAAATAAATGTTGCGAAAATGAATGTACAAATAACATGAGAAAACTGGTATAAATAGTCTTTAATACCACAAAATAAACTTTTTAAATAATCTATTGTTTATATAATTATATTAATTTATCGTACATTTAAAATAAATACATCAATAAAGTGCCACTAAATTGTATTGAGACCAGAATAAATGTAAAATAAAAGTTTAAGTATAAGTGGATGCCATGGATGGACCCTTTGATCAATGGGCTCTTCTCCACAATTTCATATCTAACACTTATTTCTGTTTTCTATTAAAACATAATCTATTGAAATGATATCAAACGATATCATAGATAAAGCTATTGGACTGAAAGTTAGTTAGTTGTAAAAGTTTCAATAACAGTGTTGGAAAATTATGCCACATTAGGTTAGGTTTCAAAATTCAATTTAAATTAGCAATTCAGCATAAGCAATTAAAAATGTATGTAAATTAGACTTGAAGTATTTCATATAATATTATTGTGTTTGTATTGAATGTTGTATTTTCAGTCAAATTTGACTTAAAAATTTTGAAAATATGACTACAGAAAAGAAAAGTGAAGTGAAATACATATCAGATATAGTGGGAGAATGGGGTAAATGGCAAATGAATTTGACTATATTTGTCTTTATATTGATAGCCCTTTCAGCGTATACTGACTTGAGTTATAGTTTTCATACAAAAGTGAAGTGAAATACATATCAGATATAGTGGGAGAATGGGGTAAATGGCAAATGAATTTGACTATATTTGTCTTTATATTGATAGCCCTTTCAGCGTATACTGACTTGAGTTATAGTTTTCATACCTATGAAGTGGACTATTGGTGTAAAGATGTTCCCATCAATCATATGGTTTGTAATTTGTATTAAATTCTAAACATTATCGCTAATTATTAAATAATTGTTTTGCAGAATGAATCGCTTGACTACAGGTGTGTTACATATGATGACCCAAACACACAATGCAATCAATGGGATTACAACACAACAGAATTTTATAAAACGATCAACACTGAGGTATTGGAGTAGTTTTTGCCACAATTGTCAAAAATATATTATTTATTAATTCCAAAAATTGCTTTATAAAAAGTTTGACTTAGTTTGTAATCGAGACAACTATGCATCGCTCACCCAATCCTTCTTCATGTTTGGATACCTGATCACTGGAATAGCATTGTCTCAATTCGCTGACAAATACAAAAATTGCTTTATAAAAAGTTTGACTTAGTTTGTAATCGAGACAACTATGCATCGCTCACCCAATCCTTCTTCATGTTTGGATACCTGATCACTGGAATAGCATTGTCTCAATTCGCTGACAAATATGGTAGAAAACCATTGGTTTGGTTCTCATTAGTGCTCGAAATAATAGCTCTGATAGCGAGCGCTGTTTCAGTAAATGTAATTCAGTATTCAATCGCACGGCTATTTGTGGGCCTATCTATGTATGGCTGTGCCGGTTCGATGTGCACCTCTCGTACGTTTATTGCATATTAATGTATATTATTATTAATGGTAATTATTTTAAACTAATTTTGTGTTATAGTATTGGAAAGTTGTGGACCAAAACATAGGTCTGATATTTATATGATTTCGGGCTGCGGTTGGGTTTTGGGTTATGTTATAATTCCGGGAATCGCTTATTGGCTGAAAGATTACCAATACATGAATTGGGTGGCAATCATACCAATCGTTTTCTTATTGGTGTGGTTTTATTTCATACCGGAGTCCCCGCGTTGGCTCATCACTAATGGTCGGGTAGATGAGGGCCAACGGGTGCTCAAGAATATTGTTAAACAGAACGGCATAAATGATGCCGATTTTGATGAGAAATTCCTTGAATTCAAAACCCATTTACTAAGAGTAAGAATTTATTGTCATTGAGTTGTTTTCAAATAATTAATTTATAATCTTTTTTTCATATGAAGAACGAAAGCCAAACAAAAACAGAAAAAACATATACAGTACTAGATTTGCTAAAAACTTCAAATCTCCGCAAATATACACTTATATTCTGGTTCTCATGGATTGTCGTCGGTTTGGTTTATTACGGCTTTAGCCTCAATATGTCTGACTTTGGGGGCAATTTTTACATAACATTTATGCTGTCAGGAGTGGTGGAACTGCCGTCGGCTTTCATCTCAATCCTAGCGCTCAGATATATTGGTCGACGAAAAGCGTTGATAATATTTCTGGTAATAATAGCCGCGTCTTCGTTGGCCATAATCCCGACGACAGACTCGACATTGAAAGTGACGTTTGCATTGATCGGCAAATTTGCTGTCGGATCCGTTTGGTGGATATACGAGGTATACGTACCGGAAGTGTATCCAACTGTATTGCGAAATACTGGCGCCGGCACGTCGTCGTCGTTTAGTAGATTAGGATCTATGGTCTCACCATTTATTAAAAATTTGGTCAGTT